TTTTCTGAGCTCTCCCTATTTCATTTTCCCTCCCCTCTAGGAAGTTGGCCCAAAGCGTTTGGTCTCTTACCTCCTTCTTTATCAGTGGGGCTTTATCAGCCAGTCACTGGGCTGGACAGAAATGATCCCATCCATTTAATTCATCTGGAGACATAAGCAAACACTCATCAATGTGATATAATGAACATGAGAGAAATGAGGCCTTGGCATTGCCTCCCATGCACAACTCTTCCTCTGCATTTCTTTAACTGCCTGGATACGGAAGTTCTTTTGGAAAAGGAGCCTGGGCATGTGTGCATATGGAAAGCCACGGCAGTGGGATTTCTTGTGGCGCGAGGTGCTAGTCAGCGCAAGCCAAGGTATCGCAATCTGGCCACATGGATGGCAGTGCCCATTGCCAGAGACGGTGCTCAAAAATGTGTGGTCACATGGGAGAGGAACTAAGTGGGGGTTTCATGGCCGTGCAGCAGCCTATGCCATTTTCAAGACAGGGAGCCACATTCTTTGATGGGGCTCTGCTGAAGCCAGCCGTGATTAAGCTAATCCCTTGTTTTTACCGTCAAGGGGAGCCACCAGTTCTGGAACTCAAGCTGGAGTCACTCTGCCTCCCTCAGACTGTGGCGTGCAGGCGGCACAAGCTAGATCGGCCAGGTTAGAGAAATACTGGGCCCAGCTCTCCTCTCCGGCGATGTTGACGTTGGGGACGTTTGGTGATGAACGTGCAAAAGTGAAAACCGGTCAAGCCAGTTCTTCTGCCTCCTGTTGTCGACATTTCATGGCAGTGCTGCACCCTGTCCACAGACAGAGCAAAGCCATGTGGCTCAGCATCCCACAGTGCAGTGCTGAGGAATGTCAAGGCAGCACAGCAGCCCCTCCTGCCCTCCTCCTGCAGCAGCTGTCTTCCTGCTGCTGTGTCCCTAACAGGACAGAACAGGAGCAGTCCAATTATTTGCTCTTTGTTTGTTCCCCAAATGGAGCAGCTTACTCAGCTGTCAGACACTTCTCAGCTTTGAAAGGGGAGGAGCGCATGCCTACAGGGCAGCAGAGGTCACAGAACACTGAGCAGAGCCATCAGGGCAGGCATTGTGGGATACTGGTGGAAGCCAGTTCTCTCCACAAAACAAACAACAGAGTCCACCTAGGACAATAAAGGGAGGGGAAAAGACAAAAGTCTCTCTCTGGTGGAAGATTTTTGTTGCCAAAACTGAGTGTTTTTCCAACAAAAGTTGCATTGCCATGTAAACGCTCTCACAGTTTTGTCACCAAAAAGCAGTTTTTGGTGACAAAATGTGCCAGATTAGACAAGGCCTCACTCACAGTGGGGCAGCTCTGGATTGCGCTCTAAATGGTGATTAGTATCCAACAATTAGCCAACTTCTTCCAAACCACCTTTCACAGGCATGTAGGGTGTGAAGTAGGGATGTAAGCGAGTAGGTGACTGCTCAACTACCCGATAAGTATAAGCTTATCGGGTAGTCGAGTGGAGTACTTGACTACTCGCTTCCCCCCACCCCCGCTTGCTGCCTCTGTATGAGAGGCAGCAAGATGGGACTGGGGGGGGGGAGGGAGGGAGGAGGGAGCCGGAGCTGGGGGGAGCTGGCTTAAAAGCTGGGTCCCCCCAGCACCATCTCTGTAGTGCTGTTTCCCTCCCCCCGCTGCCTCAGGGCAGCAGCCCCTGTCCACAGCCAGCCCCAGCTGCTGCAAAGAGGGGCTGCTGGACCTGGCGTGAGCCAGGATCTAGCAGTTCCAGCACGTGCTGGTCTGGAACCGCTGCGGCTCTGCATTTGAAATGTAGTAAGAGCCTGGTGGCTTTCATTACATTTAAAATGCAGAGCTGCAGCAGTCCAGTGCTGGCGCAAGGTGGGACTGCTCAATCCCAGTTCGAGCCGACTCCAGGAGGGCCAGGAGAAACGGTGATAGGCTGCAGAAGTCCTGAATCCAGTTCCCTGCTCTAACCTCTGGTCAGGATGTTAAAAAGCGGTTAATTAGGTAACTGTGTAAGCATTGCAAATATTAGTGGTTACATGCTGCGGGCTCTGCAATATAAAGCTTATACTGCACAGCCTGCAGTTGGGGCAGCAACTGGCTCCCCAGGAGCCGGTGCGCTCTGGAAACCAGCTTTTAAGCCAGCTCCTGGAGCATACTGGCTCCCACCTGCTGACCCAGCTCCCAGGAATCTGGTTCCTGCCCCTTGCCTCTGACGCATTGTCAGGCTGATCTTTCTTGTCAATTCTCAGGCTGGTCTTGCTATCTGTATAGATGTCAGAGAGGCTCAAAAACTGGGTCTTAAACTGAAATTCTGTTTTTCCTTTGTAATAGATACAGAGCCAGCAGGGCGGAGTGGCAGCTGGCTCTGTAGGAATGGGGCCGGACATCATCATGTAACCGTTTCGGTAACTGATAAGCTCATGCTTATTGGTTAACCATTTAAACTGTTACACTGTTACATCCCTAACCTCCAGACCACATGCCCCTACCATCTGGACTGAACACTTACCTCCCTCAAGGGCTGGGGGGGAGAAGCTGAGAGACACAGTGTATGCTTTGAGAGCCCAGGCTGGCAAGAGCTGTAAAAGTGCAAAGCCTCCTTGTCAATAGAGGGAAGACACTGGATGCAGTTGTCACATAAAATTAAAAGCTTTTTTTTGTGTTTAAAATAGCATTTACACATAAGCAGCTATATATTAACTATACAGACACTTGGGTTTTAATACAATATCTACAAAAAAGAATTCAATTAGGCAATAGACATTTACCAGGAACAGTGCAGTCCATGCTAGTAAAAGGTTACTCTCGGAGTAGAACCAATTCTAGGATAGGTGATAGTCTGGGTTTTCATTATTTAAAATCATTTAAATAGCATTTACACATAAGCAGCTATATATTAACTATACAGACACTTGGGTTTTAATACAATATCTACAAAAAAGAATTCAATTAGGCAATAGACATTTACCAGGAACAGTGCAGTCCATGCTAGTAAAAGGTTACTCTCGGAGTAGAACCAATTCTAGGATAGGTGATAGTCTGGGTTTTCATTATTTAAAATCATTTAACGCTCATAAATTCTTTACATGTATTTCTAATCACTGATTAGAATTCATTTTTTTAAAAGTCAATCTTATTACAATCCAGTTAAATGCAAAACAAAAAACAATTACATCGTCTCATCAGCTGTCAGCCTTTAGGTGGGACTGTCAATTTGACCAAAAAACAACAGAAACATCAGAAGTCAGCGCCTGTGCATTGTTTGCCATCCAATACACCTTTAGATAAAGTGGCTAGGGACTATTACCTCTGAAAAGCAAATGTGTTAACAGGAGATCTAAGACAACAGCCCTGCCTTGAAGACACTCAAACCATTCACCAAAATCTTACTCCTTGGAGAGCCGGGTTAATACACTAGGTGGGTGCATTACCCTGCCATTCCGGTAGGAGACATTACCCCAAAACCATAACCACATACATTACCTCTAATCCACAAAACACACCTGCTTGTCCTTATTAGTCGCTGAATAAATAATAGTAGTGCAAGTCCAGCTGCAGAGCACAGGCAGGTTACGTTCGTTCTTCCCTCACTCTTTCTCCTAGAATTCAAATACTATTTAAGGCTCCTGTTATAATGTCGGCTTGTTATTTGTCACCTTCAGCATCACCCTTCAAGTGCATATTCATGGCAAGCTCATTACTTTTGCATGGCAGGAGGAGGAGGACAGGTCAAGATATATTCTACCGCCAGACCTCTGCCAGCTTCTCGACCTTAAGAGGAGCAAACTAACCTGGGCTCTGCTGAGAAACTACAGGTTCTTGAAGGGTCGGATCTTGGAGTGGAATTTACAACTGCCTCCCTGATATCAAGAGCACGTCTCTCAGGGGAAAGCAGGTCATCAGGCAGGCGATGCCTGCAAAATGAGGCCCAGATGTACCCATATTGCAAATGTGAACTCGGGCATATTGAAAGGCATCAGCAGGATTTTGGAGATCGCCCTCCATTCACTTGCAAAGAAGTGACCGATGTTCCTCACGTGCTTCCCCATTCACCCAACAGGGCATCTGCACAGACTTCTGTGGTGTTACTCTGTGTTCTACCAGGTAAAGGGAGAAAGGAATCGGGGCCTATGTATTATAGCGTGACCACGATGTATTGCACTGTTAACAGAATGTGCACTTAGATTCTCTGAGGGCGCTTCAGAGAGCAGGAAATGCTAAATGCTGTTCACTGTTTCATAACCTGCCTTCAAACACAGAGCAGGCTCTTTTTTGCCTGAACTGGGTGCCTGATCTCAGCTGAAGCCAGTTTGGACAGAACCAGGTTAATTTCCAACCCACAGTGAAAGCCAGACTTGGCAGCCTGCTTCCTTCAGCAGATGAGCTCCTTCACACACCTACAGCACGGACAGGGTCAGTCTGACCCCAGCGCCCCCATGCACACGGAAATACGTAACACAATCATTGCAACACAGCAGCAAAGGGCAACACGACACAGAGCAGTTTTTCTGCCAATAGCACTTACCACAACAACAACAAAAAGAAAAAAAAATACAGCAAGTGTTTAACTGCAACTGCTGAAAAGACGTACAAGGGAATAAAATACTTCAGGCACCCAACCTGAAACCACGCCCCTTTCTGTGTGCTCCACCAGATTAATACCACAGGTTGAACCTCTCTAGTCAGGCACCCTCGGGACCTGACCAGTGCCAAACCAGAGAATTTGCCGAACCATGGGAGGTCAATATTGTCTAGCAGTGTTACCAACATTTCAAAGGCTTACCGGGCTCTTAGAAGCTTTAGAGGGGTAGCCGAGTTAGCCTGTAACTGAAAAAACTTAAAAAACAACTAATAGTCTTGCTGCACCTTAAAGACTAACAAAACATGTAGATGATGACATGAGCTTTCGTGGGCACAACCCACTTCTTCAGATGATGGACTCTTTGAAGACTGTTAGGGGTAAATTAGAGCTAAATAGCAGCACAGAACACTGAGAGCCAGGGCTGGTGGCTGTAAACAAACTTTATGGGACCGCGGGAAACTTGGACACACCCATAATAAGTAGACATCCAGGTAACTAAAATCATGTCGGACTAGAGAGATTCAACCTGTATAGTCTTTCCCCCTGATCCCGTAACTTTTGCTTTAAGAGAAAATGTGATTCAAAAAAAGAAATACGTAAGTGAGGAGAAATGTAACAAGCTGGTTTAAAAGCAGAACCATCAGAGATTGTCAGTCAAGTCATAAACTTTTTTTTAAACAGTGCCTCCTTGAGATGCAGCAAAAGGAAGGGATATTTAGTCTGATTTCTTGATTGCTGTCCAGTTTGATTTTTAAAAATGGAATTAGCATGTGATTAGTGTCTGTGCCAGGCCTAGATACAAAATGATTAAGACTGCAGCTGAACATCTAAAAGGATCATGTCATTGTCTATTGGTCACTGGCAACTTTGCCCCTTAGCCAGTATAGGCTCAGATTCCAGACGAGTAACAATGGGAGTGATGCTTCCAGAAACACCACTGGGTGATGGCTATAAATGGGTGATTTAGGCAAAAGGGAACGGGCATTGAGGGGCTTAAATGAGGAACTGGAAGGTGTCAGTCTTGAGTGTAAATCTATTGCAAACTAAACCCTGTTCTACACTAGCTAGTTATTTTGAAATAACCCCCCATTGGATACGTCTACACTGCAACACTATTTTGAAATAACTAGTGCTATTCCGAAACAACTTGGTCCGTGTCTACACAGCAGGCAGTTATTTCGAATAGCGTCAAGCTGGAGGATTTCTTACCCCGACTCCTGTAACCCTCATTGTACAAGGAGTAAGGGAAGTCGGAGGAAGAGTGCTCTGTTTAGAAATACGTGCTGGGTAGACACTCCCAATTTCAAAATAAGCTACGCAACTGACGTAGCTCAATTTACATCGCTTATTTTGAGTTAAGCCCTGCAGTAGATGCACCACTGGTGGAATTTATAAGAGGAGCGTGCACACCACCAACCCCGTTATTTCATACTCTGCACTCCTGATTTTCTCAGGGAATAACGGTAATTCTGAAACAGTTATTTCAAAATAGCAGTAGCGTGGACACTCCAGTGTCGCTATTTCGAAATAGCGACTCCCCAGAGTCACTGAACTAATTACTCCACAGTGCTTCCTGGGGCTCTAAGCTGAGGTAGCACATCCACATTAATGGAGCCTCCATGGAGACTTCCCCATAGTGGGGACACGCTATTTCAATTTTATTTTGGGAGTTATTAAATCGAGTTAAGTTATTGCAAAAGAGTTTCCTTGCGTCGATAGGCCCTAGCTACACATGTGGACCTGCCACTGTGCACTAAGCGCTGTCTAGCATGAACTGAATGGCTGTTTCAAACAGCTGTAAGCCACTGCACCCTAGGGAACCCGCAGTGGTGCAACAGCAGAATCCACATGCACAGTTGGCATGTGACGTGCTGCAGCTTGATACCCCTTTGCTGGGCACAAACGGTTCATTTAGACGTGCCCTAAGGCCCACTGGCTGCTCTGCACCTGAGTCGCTTTTGAAAAGGGGCCCTATGATCCAAAGCCATTTGGTGACTTTTGCCAGTTTCACCATTCGCCTTTTTCTAATTCCGCTAAGGAAAGTGAAAGAAAAAGCCGTGGCAGCCGCCTGTGGCCACAGCCTACGATAAACAGACTGCCGAGAAGTCAGCGCTGCTGCAGGACTACAAGGATCACAGCAGCTATCCACCTGGTCTTCTGCATGCCTGCTAGGCACGGAAGTCATCAATGCAAGAGACCTAGCAGGAGGTGTGGTCCATCATACCGGGGGAAAAAAATTATATACTCTGAAGTGTGATTTAAGTCCCTATCCTCAGATCCATCAGGAAGGGCTGGCTAATGAAAGTGGATTTTAACTGAAGGGCTGAAATCCTTTCCACCTTTACTAGCCCCTAGCCCCCTCTGCCGTTAGAACAGGGCTGGGCAAGAGCCTGTCAGCCGGCCTGATCCAACTCGCTCAGCTCTTATCTGGTCTGCGTAGCAGCTCCTGGCCCCGCCCCCACACATTGCCTGGGAGCCGGGGATGCGCGGGCCCTTTCAACTGCTTCTGTTCCAAGGGCTCATGCCTTCCCTGGGACTGCTTAGGCGCGAGCCCTGTAAATAATAGGAGTTGAAAGGGCTCGCAGCTCTCGCCCCCCGCTAACGTGTTGCTTGGGAGCCACAGAGGGAGGTGCAAGCCCTTTCAATTCCTGCTATTTAAGGGCTCCGCCCCTTCCTCCTGAGGCCCCACCCCTTCCGCCCAAGGGCCCCTCCCCCTTCAAAAATGATTGCCCACCCCTGCTTTAGAACATGTCCATTTGGTGACTCTGCTGCTGCAAAAGGCCAGCCCCAGGAGCCCGACTCACTGCAGAGGTGAAGCTGGGAGGAAGACCTTACTCAGCAACCAAGAGGAGAAGGAGTCGCCACAGTTACCAGCAAAGCCACTGACGTGGGAAGGAAATAGGATGGAATATCCCCACCTTCATGGGGAAAAGCAGCATTTGTGCCTTGCATAACCAGATAGCAGCAACGTCCCAATGCTGCAAGAACAACCTTTACAACAGCAATTAAGGTGCATGTTATGACCACACAAAAATGAACATCAGGGGGGCCACACCTGCCATAGGATGATGCCAAAATGAAAGACAATTCTATTCTTCCCTCAGCAGAGGAAGGTGCGGCTCTAGATCCATTCAGATTTGTGCCTACTGCTGGAAATTTCGCTCTGTGCCCGCCCCTTTTGCTTATTTCCAGGCGTCATGGCCGTCGGTGTTGGTTTTTTGCTATATACTTTACACGTATTCGGGAAATCAACCATAGGAGCCAGTGTTTCTGGTAAGACAGAGGGAGAGAAATAAAAGGTGCTAATAATAAGTCATATGAAATAATTGTCTCAAATCAGCCAAGAAGACACACAAATTGCACTGAAAGTAGGTGCCACAGCTACCGAAGCTCGTTAGGCTGTGAATACACACCAGTCAATCACATTTAAAAAACAAGGGGAGAAAAAAGAGGAAAGAAAAGATTCCATTGATTTGCTGAAATTTAACTATCCCAGGTGATTTTTGTTTTGATTTTTGCAACACACGACTGAGATTCAGGAAGGTGTTACATGCAATACAGCCAAAGCTTTCTTAAAGTGTTCAGCAATGAACCCCGCCCGCAAATAACCCGAACCCCAGCATCAATGAAAACAAGCCCCTCCCCCCAAACAGAGTCTGAAGGCACTTCCTCTCACATGATGTCAACAAAGAATTCGCAAGGGTTGCCCATCGCCTTCTGGAAGGACTGCCGGCTCCCTGTCAGCTCTGGAGGAATGGAGCTCAGTTCTCTCACAGGCGGTCCACCGGGAGGTCCGCTCGTCCCGTAGACTTTGGAGCCTAGCTTTGGCAGGTTGTAGAGGGGCGGGACCCCCGGAGGCCCGTGCGAATGGGGGCTGTGGTGGCTTCTCTCGCTGTGGGTGGCAGAGACGTGACTCCGGTGGCTGAGCTGGCTGGTGGGCCGTTCGCGGCGCACGACACTGGCCCCGCCCCCGCTGCGGGCGGTGTGGTCGGACTCGCTGCCGCTTCCAGTTGACTTGCGTTCCTTCTCCCTGCCGAGAGCCCTCCGGCTGTTCTCACTGTTGCTCCGGTTAGAGCCGCTGCTCTTGCTTCCTGCGGACGGCAAGCGACAGGAACAGAATGGCCAGGTTAGCCAGTCATGCCTCCTCCCCTCCTCCTTCATCAACCCAACAGCGCCCGACCCACCATGGCAACAGGGACAATGACCAACTCCGGCCCGCATTAAGCACAACAGGCTATGGATGGCGACAGGATTTGGCAGCGAAAGCCGCTAGAACAAAGCTGAGGAAGCTGTGGCATGCAAGGGTATATCTGGAACCCTCCCTCCGGAGCCAGTGCGGTGAAAGCACTGGCTAGCTTAGAACAACCACCTCAGCCCCTCGGCTTCCTGGCCTCCCCTCTGGCCAGACACTGGTCCACAGTGAGGGAAAAGACAGAAAGGGGAGGAAATAGAGGGCTGGGGAGGGCTTTATTTTGAAACACAACACAGGTTCCTTCTCATGGTATAACTGATTCCAAGTGCGGATGCCAGAAATGCCGGCACAGGAATGGGTTATCGCGCCATGAAACCTCTTCTTCAAAACAAATCTCATCTGGTCTTTCCTGCATCAGTCAGCAGATTTAAATTCTGGACCTGATCCAAAACCCACTGAAGTCAAAGGACGTCCTTCTGTTGACTTCAATGGCATTAGGGAAGGGGTGGCCTGCGGGCTGCATCCGGCCCACCAACCCATTTGATCCAGCCTGCGGCTGCCCTGCCCCTAAGGCCAATTGTGACCTGGGGGTGGGGGAGTACGCAAAGTCATTCACAGTTCAAAGTGGCTGGCGGCTCCCTCCCCTCGCCAGGGGCATGTGGCGCCTAGAGGGAACCACCAGCCACCCCGCAATAGGGCCTGACCCAAATGCAGATTCCAACAAAACCCACTGTTAGTTGTGACCTTGAAAAGCCAGCATGTAGAGTTGTTACACGTCGCGTACTGTGGATTATGCAAATGCCAAGTCTAGAAGATGTTCCCAACAGAGGCGGTAAAAAAATACCTGTCAGGTATCACAGAGTACACGAACTGGAAGGGACCTTGACAGGTCATCGAGTCCAGTCCCCTGCCCTCATGGCAGGACCAAGCATAATCTAGATCATCCCTGATAGGTGTCTGTCTAACCTCCAATGATGGAGATTCCACAGTCTCCCTAGGCAATTTATTCCAGTGTTTAACCAGCCTGACAATTAGGAAGATTTTCCTAATGTCCAACCTAAACCTCCATTGCTTCAATTTAAGCCCATTGCTTCAGAGGCCAACGAGAACAATTTTTCTCCTTCCTCCTTGAAACACCCTTTTAGATACTTAAAAACTGCCATTATGTTCCCTTCTCTGTCTTCTCTTTTCCAAACTAAACAAGCCCAATTCTTTCAGTCTTCCCTCAGAGCTCATGTTTTCTAGACCTTTAATCATCTTTGTTGCTCTTCTGTGGACCCTCTCCAATTTGTCCACATCTTTCTTGAAATGCGGTGTCCAGAACTGGACACAATACTCCAACTGAGGTCTAATCGCTGCAGAGTAGAGCGGAAGAATGACTTCTCCTGTCTTGCTCACAACACACTTGTTAATGCATCCTAGAATCATGTTGGCTTTTTTTGCAACAGTGTCACATTGTTGACTCATATTTAGCTTGTGGACCTCTATGACCCCTGGATCCCTTTCAGCAGTACTCCTTCCTAGACAGTTGCTTCCCATTCTGTATGTGTGAAGTAGGTATGAGCAAGTAGCATAGTACAGGAGTGTGAGCTATTGACTTCACTGGGGTTTGAGTCAGGCCCTATGTGAACAGCTGCAGCAGCTGGTTAGGTCTCATAAAGAAGAGCACAGGCTTAGGTAGATATTTCTGCATTAAATCTCACCCTCTCTTCTTTTTTTTTTCTCTCTAAACCTTAACTTTCCAAGCCATCACTCAACAAGGAATGAACGGTGCCACTTAAACCAAAGCCCTCCATTAGAGGTTCCATGCACATAAAATGCCACAACCTCATTAACAAGCCCGATTTTCAACTGGAACAAGTGTTTGCGGCTCCACTCAAGTCATCACAGCGTTGATGGTGCTTGCCACGGGAAGGGAACCACAGGCACCCCCATTGCTAGTCACAGCCCTCCCTCTGCTGATGAGATTATAATGGAAAATCGAGAAAGGCAAAACCAAAGAGATGGGGGACTGAAAACCAAGCTGTCCTGGCGTGGGTAGAGAGCTCAATGTCTCCCGCAGAACGCAGGAAGGGATGAGGACCACACTAGAACGTGGCATACCCAAGATGCAGTGTGGACTAGGAGTTTTAAACCCACGACTAGGAGCCTGAAACGGGTGAATTCTACTCCTGCTCCCCACCAACCCCCATTTGCTGTAGGCAAGACATTTATCTGCTCTGGGCTTCAGTTTCCCCATCCATGAATATAGGGGATCGTTTTTACAGCACTCCTTCTAAGGGATGTTGTAAGGATTGGTCAGCGAAGCCCTCTGAAAACAAAGTGCTACATAAATGCGGAGTTTCATAATCAGCCATCTCTGAACGAGCCAATAGAAACATGCATCAGAGCATCACTGGGAATTAACAGGCTGACTCTTCCTGCCCTCCGTCCAGGCAGGATCAAGGCCAGAGGGACACAGACAAGGGAGTTGTTACAGGACACGGACTATAGTTCATCCCCGAGTGAACGGTGCTCTGCCCATCACCACCCAAACAGCAGCACCCACAATACAAATCTTCCTGCAGGGCTCTGGCAACTGCTTTGCAAACTCAAGAAGAAATTCCAGTGCAGCAGGAAGGCTTGTTCCCCGCCGAAGATCCCCACATTGTGGCAACCCTTTGAGCACTAGAGACGTCTCCTTTCCCCGCTAGGACAATGGCACCAGTTTCCAAGGCAGAATTACCATGGATAAAGAGCTCGGTCTGAAACCTGATGGCACAAACTGGCCCTTGCCATTCTCCTCCCATGAACCAACACCTAGTTCTACGCTGGGCGGAGATGCTGACTCTGCAGTACAGGTTGAAGCTCTCTAGTCCGGCATCCTCGGGGCCTGACCAGTGCGGAACCAGAGAATTAGTCAAACCACAAGAAGTTAAGATTGTCTAGCAGCATCACCAGCCCTTCTGCTGCTTGCTGGGCTACATTAGAGCTAAGTAACAGCACCGAACACAGAGCCAGGCCTGGTGGCTGTAAACAAACTTTATGGGACTGCGGGAAACGTGGCCACACCCATGGTAAGTGGACATCCAGCGAACTGACCACAGATGTTGCCGTACCAGAGAGTGCCGGACTAGAGAGGTTCAACCCGAAGTGTTTTTAGATGAAAGCTGGAGTGTAAGTCAATGGAAAGGTGTCTATGTGAGGTGTGAGTTGAGTTCGCGCCCCTATGGGTGGTGGGTATCATGGGCAGTGGAAGGCAATCACAGAGTACACAGAGCCTTCCCAAACTGCCCTGCTTGGCCCTCCCCCTCCTCCACTAGCGTCCCCCAGACACACTCCCCCAGCCTGCTCTTGTGATGCCAGAGGGTGAGGCAGGCAAGGCAGGGGCTGCACCACCTGTCCTCCTGGCGCTGGGACCACCCTGCCCATCCAGCACTGGGGCTGGCGGCTCGGCTGAGGGGAGGGCCTTGCCTGGTCAGGGGTGTGGGCCCTGTATCATGCCTGCTGACCAGCTCCCCAGGCCGTCCGAGCTGGGGCAGGCTGCATCCGTGCTGCCCGCCATCTCTCTGGGGCCAGGGGAGGCTGCGGCCGTGGCCGTGCTGACTGCCGGCTCTCCAGAGCTCCAGGCTGGGGGTGCTACCTGGGAGAGGGAGGGC